ACTACACTTATCCTGTGTAAATCTTATCTTAAATATTTACGTGCATATTTTGTATAATTATGAGATGTACATGTAATGTATCAGACTCTGGTTCAAATAAAACAACAACAACAACCTAGCCAACATTTTGAAAAAATACAGGTAAAACACAGGGGAAACCCCTAATGCCAATACCAATTTTAGTGTTGTTTTAAGTCGTTTTTTTTAACACACCTGTAGCAAGTCCTTGTGTTTAAGGTAGACTGTTTTGGTGAGATTTAAACTTTTTAGAAAACGTCCTGGCTATACCATGGAGCGCCAGTAGAATATTCCTTACATAAAGAGCAAACTACTAGTATTCCATAATCAGGTGTAGATAATATTTCCTCACCCCTTAAAAAACAAATTCTTGATGAGTATATAGTCTTGTATATAAAGTTTAAATTATACAATTCAATTCATTGTTCTTTGCGACAGTCATATTCAATCTTCGTCAAGCGTAAATTTCACGGGAATAGATATGTAACATAACCACATGACGGTTTTCGTGACGCTTTAAATGTTAAAAAGAACTCTTTCGCGTCTGACCTTTGTTATTTTAGATGATAAGATAAATTTAAAAGAGACATAAGAAGATATATATTAAAAAAAAAAAAGAAATAGAATGGAGAAGCTGTTGTGACATGTTTGAAATTACGTATTTATTAAAGCTTTATTGAATTTTTTGCCTTTTTTTTTTAAAATCGATGCCATGTAATTCAACCACCCGAGGAGTACAGTATTCGCCGAGTCCTTAAGGCGAGGTAAATGTCGTAATTCGAGGATCATTAGATCATTGTATTGGAAACCCCCCTCCCCCACCCCCATACAAGTATATAAATATATGATCAAGTGATACAAATTTGTGAAGCAAATCTCGCCATCTTTCTTTGTTGTTTACGACTGTTGAGGTTGTTGCCGAACAAGAGGCGCGGATTTAACTGAGCGACATGAATAAATATAATCGTATCAGTTTGTTCCCGATCTTTATTGATCCAAAGTAGAAAAAAAATCAAACGAGATATTCATCTAAAAGGTGTATATAACTTTTTATGAGTTCTGAAATGTTGCATTTTCGCCAGTCAGAGACCTATATATGAAATATCTGATATTTTCTTTTTTTGTTAAGTTTTAGAGATTGGCCTTTTCGGGATATAAAAATTGTATATTATATATCGTAAAGGACTAATCACTAAAACTTAACCAAAAAACAAGAGGCCCATGGGCCACATTGCTCACCTGAGCACTGTGGCCAGGAAAAAAGCAAAAATCAGTTTAGTATTGTAAAGCTTTAATGCATAAGTGGTCCCGACCTACCCCTAAACAAGTTTGAACTTTCATTATGGTACCACCCTACCCCCGGGGGTCATGGTTTGAACAAATCTGAATCTACACTATCTGAGGATGTTCCATATAATTACGACCAATCATAGCTTTGCTGTTCTTGAGAAAAAGATTTTTTTTTTTAAAAAATTCCTATATATTCCTTTGCATAACTTTAATCATCAATTGTGGCCCCGCCCTTTCCCCAGGGGGTCATGATTTTTTTTCAAACATAAATCAATACTACCTTAGGATACTTCCGAGTAGTTAATAACCAATCATGGCTTTGCTGTTCTTGAAAAGATTTTTTCTATATAGTCCGGATCCTATGTAAAATTTTGATCGTCCTTTGTGGTTCCACCCTACCCCTAGGGGTCATGATTTGAACAAACTTGAATCCACACCACCTAAGGATGCTTCCAAATAAATATGACCAAACATGGTTTTGCTGTTCTTGAGAAGAAGATTTTTATAAAAATTTTCCTATATACTCCTATGTAAAAATTTGATCGTCCATTGCGGCCCCACCCTACCACCAGGGGTCAGGATTTGAATAAACTTGAATCCACACCACCTAAGGATGCTTCCAAATAAATATGACCAATCATGGCTTTGCTGTTCTTGAGAAGAAGATTTTTATAAAAATTTTCCTATATATTCCTATGTAAAACTTTGATCCTCCATTGTGGCCCCACCCTATTCCCGGGGGTCATGATTTGAACAAACCTGAATGTACACCACTTGAGGATGCTTCTATATAAATATGACCAATCATAGCTTTGCTGTTCTTGAGAAGATTTTTAAAGATTTTTCCTATATATTCCGATGTAAAAATTTGATCGTCCATTGTGGCCCCACCCTACCCCCGGGGGTCATGATTTGAAAAATTTAAATCTAAACTACCTGAGGATGATTCCACATGAGTTTCATCTATCCTGGCCTAATGGTTCTTAAGAAGAAGATTTTTAAAGGATGCCATTAATTTTCACCAATTTGTAATTATCTCCCCTTGGAAGAGGGCGTGGCCCTTCATTTGAACAAACTTGAATCCCCTTTACCCAAGGATACTCTGTGCCAAGCTTGGTTGAAATTGGCCCAATAGCTCTGGAGAAGAAGATGAAATTGTGAAAAGTTTACAACGGCAACGACAGACAACGGACAAAGAACAAGTGCACTTATGGGCCCCGGTAAAATGTAAAATGAAGATTCAAATTAAGCATAATTTTTCATCTCAGATCATTAATTGATATCTAAACCATAAGATTCAACAAATTTTATCGCCGAAATTCATGAATATACAAAGAGCAAAACCACACAATGTGGTAGGAGTCAGCCGACATTCGTGATTTTCTATAGTAAATCGAGGACGGTCAATCATTTCAAAGCTTTTGTTTACTGTCAGTCTAACATTGTACAAACTTGTGCAAATGACAAAAAGCGCATTATACATTTATAAAACTTGTGTGAAAGGAGGAAATTTGTACAAGATTAGGCTTGTACTTAAAACATTAAAAATGTATGAAAAGTTGAATGTTTTTCCTATAGCAAGCGACAGCTATTTACCTGTATGACCTATGTTGAACCCACCCGTGGAATAAATTATTTAAAATACCGGTAGCCACGTGAGTTCTACCCGGGTAAACATTCCTCAAAGGTACTTACTGTAAAAGATAGCTACGTTTTGTATCATTATATAAGTCGTAAGTTTGTACGTATTTGGTTTTAAGAACACGGGAGGGTTAGGAGAGTTTAGTGTCGTTAAAATGTCATGATCATACATAAAAGCGTCAAACATTTTTAACATTCATGCAAGAATGGTATCGGTATTGAAAGCCACCTAAATACACTTTTTTCATTCTAAAATTTAAAGGAACAAATGGTAATACTTATTCTGTTATTTCAAATGCAAGCGTGCAAATTTCTTAGTTTGATCACTCTGGCTACAGGCATCTATACAACTTCATTTTTTCTCAGGTAAAAAAAGCTCAAGAAGTATCATTCGGCAAACGCGCCCGTCAATGATCCACCATCAGATTGTTCAAGTGTCCGATTTAAATGTCTCCTCCCCTTGATTTAAATAAATGAAACTCAAAATAGGATCGGTACGACTTTTCCGGATTTGGGGTAGTTATAGGCTTAAAAAATCTTCATTTGTTTCAAATCCATGCTGATTTAGATGATGTTTTAACGTGATTTTAATTAGAAATATCCACTTGTGTTTAACTATTACCAAAAAAGAACAATTTGGTAATATATTCTAAAGTAAAACGTCACTGAAAAAGGGCCCATGAAGTATTGCTTAAAGTGACAGTACGGCGCATCTCATCAAAAACTGACTAGATAAAATTTTCCGACAAGATTTGGCATTTTTTTACTACTCATAAATGTATAAACTTTCAGAAAATTACAACTTTTACAATTAATTAATTTGGATTACTTCATTAAAATTAATAGTTATTTATGGGACGTAAATATATACATCGCAACGTGTTCGATGTTCCACATTCCATGCTATGCACGCATGCGTAGTTTTCATAAACAAAACAGCATGGTTAGAGAGGGAATCCCGGTAGGCCTGCTACATTGACAAAGTCGACTAAAGATAAAAAGAAACTGAAATAGAACTTGAAAAAGCAACTTTCCTGACTAAAATTTAGTTTGGGGATTAATATAATCGCTGGATAAGGAAGAAACGGGAACTCGGCGACACTCAAGCAGGGCTCTCGAAGGTTCTACTCGACAGGTTTGTTCATACTTGTTATCATTTCTCATTTTTCCGTCGCTTTCAAAGAAAAAAAATAGTGTAAACTCAACATAAAAAATACATCTTTGACTTATAAACATTGTTGCCATTTGAAATGCTAATTTTTTTTAATTGTGCAGAAAAATATTTTGTTTGACATTTGCCGCGGTAACGTAAGATTAGTTGGTTTTTCCTTTCTCGGACCTCAATACACAAAACGTCAACATTTGTACTTTAATTCTGTTAAATTCGGCTGAATGCAGACTAAAATCTTTACGATTATTATTTTAGATTATTTTATCAGAAAGTTATGATAATTTGTGTTTTTGAAAATTGCTTTCACCTAATATTCATTATAACTGTAAACTCTATAGTGTAGGCACGTGCCGTTTTGGAATTCACGTGGTACAAATAAACAGATCTAAGATTGCTCCAGTTCGTACGACCCTTGATTTTCCGGCAGATTCTAATTACGTTAATTTTGTTTGAGTAGAGAATATTTCTGTTTCTCAAACTGCTTACATCAACTTTATACCTTATTTCTTAATGACATATTGGGTAAATTTGGATGAAAAAGCACACATTTTGCAGCCGTACTGTCGCTTAAAGAGCACTTGTCCTTTCGATCAGAAAAGCTCACTTGAGCCTTCGGCTCAGGTGAGCTAAAAAAGAAGAAGAAGCCGGAAGCCGATATCAGATAGCGGAATGTGGGAATGATGGACTAAGAAGTCATGTATTTTTGATAAGTATTATCTTGTGTAATAAATATTCTCAGGAGGAGGGGGGCTACACCATCTCTTCATCAGGTGCTTGTGTCTTAAATCACGAAGGAGACCTTTCGTGTATAGTCAGAGAACTGTAATAATGTAGTTGAACTGTGGGTGACAGGGATACGGTAAGAAAGAACGAAAGGACATTGAAACAAGTAACATTTATTTTCACACCAAATAACATGTGCAACAATTCACTGAAGTCCTACGAAATTATATTTTCCATTTAATGTAAATATGCTATAAAACTATTGTTTTTGCATGCGACTGATCTTTGCTATATATGACAAGAAAGCTTTTGCCTTGCCTTAATAAAGTAATTGTTCCATTCTAATGAAGGGTTGCAGGAATTTTAGAATATTTACAAGAGCAGAAATGTTTGAAGGGTAAAATCAGTGACAAAGACAATCTTGGAAATCTTTTACCAAGACCCGTCAAATGCCTTTGGATTGTCTAACGGTTTGACTTTGGTTTTTTCGGGGGAGCAAATTCTTTTAAAATAATCCCAATATACACCCAAAAATATCTGAAAAAATGCATTAAACCCTGTAATCAAGGAAAATGATATCTGCAACATTTACAGGTTTTCCATATGTACATACTACAGGACACATAATATAGTCTAGTAAATATTGTGTATCAAAATCCTTCCTGCCAAAATTATTTATGGATTGCTCCTTTTCCATAAAATCTTGTCTGCTAATTTATTCTTATTTTGAACTGCTTCCCTTGACGGAGTGGCTTTTCTGTACAGGCGGGGGGAGCCCCTCTGCGTTAACATACTCCAGGAGTTCTATGACAGATGGCGTCTCCATCTGAGAACTGAAGCGGTAAGTGACCCGGTTCCCTGATCCCGATCGTCTTCTCTTTACTTTGTAGTGATATCTACCTTTTGGTGAAGATGTGTTTCTAAAATGATGAAAATTTATATATCAAAAAACGCAGATCCTAAGCGAAAAGAAAAGGGGTTAAAATCAATCAAATCTAATCGTTTCTGCATTGGCCTTCCATTTAATTTCCTCTCATTATTATACGTTTTGAATCTGTACATTTGTTAACTTTAACACCTTATCTAAATTAGGCCATTTAGATCTCCTCATTGAAACTGAGATAATACAAGTTACAAAACCGCATAGTATGATATAAGACATGGGGTGGGGTGCAGAAAGAGAAAATAAACACTGATCTTTTTTTTCTTAACAGTACATGTACAATCAATACATATATTTGTCATAACTTTAAAAATTTGTTCCTATATAAATCTATACTTTAAAAAATCTAACATTTCCAATGTTTTACTGAGCGATCATAAAAAAATCGATGTTTGACTGCAGAGTAAGATATTGGACCTGTCGATGAGATATTGGACCGCTTACGTCACACTGTGGGCGGGATCAGCTAAATTTTATATATGTGCATTTGTTGGTGTTCGACAGTGACAGAATTAATTTACCGCAGTGCGGTTAAAGGAAATTTACATCATGGAAGCCAGCTCAAGATACAAGTATGTCCAAAATAAATAAATAAATTAATAAATGAATAAATAAATAAATAAAACGTATAATAAAACATTTATTGGGTGTGTTCTCGGGTAAAACGGCCAAACGGCCTCAGGCAAACAGTTTGGTTCTTAGGTCCGACAAAACGCATGTTGCCCTCGAACACAGTCAATAAATGTATAATGTACATGAGTACATGATTAGTATTGTCGAATTTTAAAATGCAAATATCAGAACAAGATTTTTTGAACCATAAGACTAGTCCAAGTGTAGATTTTGAAATTAAAAAAACTCAATTCAACATGGTGTGTTTGTTAAACACAAATGCCTAAAACTTGGCCAAGTGATGTGGAAAAGAGTCCCTAGACATACTACAATAGAATTTACAATATTCTGACTGGTTTCAAAAGATAAAGCTAAGTATTACAGTTTTGCAGACAGAAGGACAGACAGGATAAAACTTAATTAATGCAGGATCATCGAACTTCATAAAATACATGTATCAGATGTATATGCAATGTGTGCAGTTTTCAAAACCTTTTAAAAAATCAATGGCACATTAATTAACATTTCAGATTATTTTGTTTTCTAAATGAAAAGCATTTTGATCAAATAGGTCTGTAGTAAATTTGTGAGTAACGTTAAGATACTCACATGATCGTGACTATTAGAAGTTCACGTTTTTGGCTGTACCAAATGACGTAATCGCCATCTCTCGCTTTGTTTTCTCTAATGATTCGTTTTATCTAAAAAAAAAAAAAAACAAACAAACAAAAAACATAGTGCTCTGAAACTACGTCAATGAAAACACGAAAATTTTAATACTATATTTAAGAGTACTAAACGATACACCAATAAAAACATGTTCAATTGTGCTAAATTTGAAAACGCCTTTCCCATCTTTAAAAAAATGGTAGGATACCGGCTGAATGCATATTATATATAATTTTAACAGACCTTAATATCCGTCACTACGTATACATTTGTGCTTCTGTCATAAGGTTACAATTAAAGTTTACTACCAAGAACATAACCTCATTCCCGGATCTGAAGCAAAGCATATTTAGTTTCTGGGAGAGGTGTAAAATTTGTTTCTCTTGATTTCGCTGGAGAAAATGCAATATGTATGAAACATTATTTTCCATCATGATACATTGTAAACAAAATATAATTCAAACGTATAAACACGTATAAAATTTGAATGGGATAACTATAACCGAAGAATTTAGAAAATCGTTAATATATTCTTACACCGGTAATTACAATGATAATTGTAACTACTTTCCATGAAGTTTTTGCAGTTAATGACATCTTTTTTTGTGTGATTTTCTATGTCAATCATTACATCAATACAATGCAGCGAGATCAAAATTTGCAAATAAGGTATATCTGTAACGGTAGTATTTGATTTCAAAAGGATTCCCTACATTTCTTTCTTCGACGTCTGGGTGACATCCCGGGTACTCTCGGAGCCGATGATCCATGTTCTTTACTGGGTACCAACCATCAAATAATACTGGACTTCCTCTGTACGGTATAGGATGTGACAGAATTATGTTGTCTGTCTTCGACCCAACTCTACAATCATCATAATCCACTTCATCGACGTCATCATAGTCATCGTCGTCTTTGCCAGGACTCGGAGTGTCCGCCACATTCATAGTTTTAGCCAAAGGTAAATCAGATCGCCTTTCTAGCGGTAAGTCCCTGGGTTTTGTAAGAATCGAGGGGCCATGTGGTTTTTGTATTGACCCTACAGATGATTGTGTTGGACTATGGGAATGAAACTGCTGTTGTATTTGGTCGGAAAACTTAACCTGGTGCGAATGGCTGTGTTCTGGGAAAGAAGTGAGATCTGAGGATTCTGTAGGTGAATTTTGCGTGATTCCAGGGTACTCTGTTCAATGAAGGGTAAATATCTTGAATAAAGAATCAGTTCATTAATTTTTTTTAATATTTAGGAATGTATGATTCCTTAGAGTATTCTTACTTACTCTGTTATATATATATATATATATATATATATATAAAGAAATACAGTGCCTTACCAGAATCGAACAAATATCCATAACCGTTCTTGTGAAGAACATCAACAAAAATGTGGAATCCCTCTTCACCTACATATATAAGTTTTTCTATCAGTCCATCCGCCATTGTATGGTTTATTTCCTTCCTGCGAATTTCCAAGCCATCCTCAATAGACAAGACTTCACGGCTGATTAAGTCGTCCAGAATATGATCTACGGAAAGATTTCTTTTTATGTCCTTAACACTTCTTTGGAGTTTTGTGTAGTTTTCATTTCCGATGTGACCTCTATAACGACGGATACCCTGTTTAAAATACGAAGGTTGATCCAAAAAGTAATATCACAACTGCTATAAAATATTTAATAATCAAATGTTATTAAAAAAATCATAAATAAATATCCCTATCTATTTTGATTTTTGCCTTCACTCGATTTTCGGGGGGGGGGGGGGGGGGGGCTTAGGTGTCAACTTCTTTCAGTACCAAATTTTATTCATACACTACTACATTACCCTTATTTGACTATACTGCAACAAAAAGTGGGGGAGGGGACAAACGGCCTTTCAATAAACAGTTACGATAGTAAGAGGTCCTGTTTTGAAAAAAAGATTGGGGGTTGATGTTACGTCCCTGTTTATAATGGCAATTGTCCAGGTCTACCTTGCAGAAAAAAATGTATTTTAATAGTTGCTTAAAGATGTTGCTACCTGTTCACTTAATGTTTGGAAAAAATCTAGAAGTTGTGCTTATAGACAAATTCCTGGCAATACTGGTAATGGAAATATCAGGAAGTTATTTTAACAAAGGTTTATAATGGTTACGAATTTTACATATCATGCAAGATAATTTTTTTTTAAACTGTATAGAACACTGACTTACGTGTCCTCGAGACATATTGGATTCGCTCCCTCGCGGTCCCTTCCCCATGTGTATATCCCAGTTACCCAGCTAATCCATGATCCATACAAAAAGATTCAAAATGATTTCATTATCTCCGCATAGCGACCTCCTTTCGTTTTGTCCGTCACGGTCTGACCTCATAGCTGTATTGTCACTTGTATCCGGTTTAAAGTTTAAATTTTAAGGTATCTATTTTGGGACAGTTTAAAAATTCCATATCAGTGCTTTTTTTTAGATTAAACTTTACTGCACCATTGTGAATTTGTTCAATTTATATATTATAATTTCAATCAAACTAATTAAAATAAGGCAGTCATTGTGCAAATCACATATATACATGTATATACATATTTTGACCACTGGATCGCCATACGCGAATATATGAAATCTGTCAAATAGTTTCGAAGTGTTTGGGAATACTAGACGTATATGATGGCCGGACCAATGGCTAAGACAAAGCTTAATTAACTATTGCTGTCTTTCGTGAGATATTTGTTTTTTTTTTGTAAATACATCTTACAAATACCGAAAAAGACAAGACTTCCCTTCTGACTCCGAAGCGGTGAAAAATACGCTGAAACAACCCCCCCCCCCCCCCCATACTTTTTAGCGACTCCCCCGCGTTACCCGTTGTATACGGTGAGAATGGAGATTGTGTGTTAATATGGAAAAAACCCAGATGATATGATTTTTTCAAGAAAATCAAGCGATGAAACATCATTTAGATTTTTATTACAATAACCAAATGATTTACATAACTAATGGATATAAATATTTGGGTGTTGTGTTCAGATCTGATGGAAAAATGAAATTTGCAGCTGAACAACTATAGGAAAGCATATTATGCTATTTAAACCAAATTTTCCTGCAAATATTAATTTTTCAGCTGAAATTATGTTGAAATTATATCAGTCAATGATAATACCAATTATCACATATGAATCTGAAGTATGGATAACTGACTTCAAATGTGATTTAATGTCTTCATACCAATTTCCTACTTAATATTTAAAGACATACTAGGGGTACATAGAAAGGCATCAAATCTTGCTGTTTTATGTGAATTGGGTCGTTTTCCTTTGTACTATTTATATTACGAATAGAGACTCAAGGAAATATAATGCAAACATGGTTATAATAATTATTTAGTGATTTCTGCATTCAAAGAAGACAAAAAACTTGTATCTAGAATATCTTGGCAAAGAAAACTGTCTTCATTACTACAAAAATTAAATATCACTTCTTTGGATATTTCTCACACAACGTTGAAAAACAAATTACAAGAGCATTACCAAAACAAGATACATGAACAACTGAAAAATATAAGCAAATCAGACTCTGGAAAGTTAGCTTTTTATAGCAAACTTTCAAAGTTATTTAAAGCTACCTTTGAAAAAAGTTATAGATCTGCATAAACAAAATTAAGGATCATTGCCCATCCATTGTATATTGAAACGGGTAGGTACTGTAAACCTCTTATTCCTAGAGAAAAAAAAGTCTATTCTATTCATGTAAATTGTTTATTGAAGATGAAAAACATTTTGTTCTGTTATTAGTGTTCATGACTGTATGCCGACATGGTAATTGTCAATAAAGTGAATTGAATATATAGTATAATTCATACTTGGACCTTTTATTCATTTAATTAGCCTAATGTTTTAAAACTGTTGTCATGTTGATTTTTCTTTCAATTGTTATAGGCCGCAGGAGCGGCCGATATATTTGTTGTTCCCCGTTGTGTTAGAATGTGCACATTATTTTTTTCATTGCTTCGATGGAATAATTCCTTATTGATAATGAACACACGTAAAATTTATGAATAAAATTTTTAAAAATTTGCTCAATACTAAGTCTAAATGGCTTTTATTATGTTTCAATTTGATTTTTATTTCTCATCAGATATTTATTAATTTATGATTTGATAATAAAACTGCTCCCCAATGTGGGCGTGCATAAGATATAAAAACAAAACGTATTTATGAATTACAGTGCCTCAAAAAGAAGTGAATTTTGTTTTGAATACACTACAGTTGCAAATGGCTCAATGATCGTTTTTCACTTCACATTTATTGTGAAGAATACCATCGGCATTATCACATGACCAAGATCCAGGGTATCAGCCTTTGAACTTCAGAAGTTTGTGCGTCCTTTTTTGTCAGCACTCGGACATTCTGAATTTCATTATTAATAATTTTAGACCGATACATGTATTTGTTGCATTTGTCTTCGAATCAAATAATTTGATGATAATAAAGTCCCATCCTTTTAATCGTGGGCAGCCGTCCGATTTTCATTTCCGTGAATTTATTATTATTATTATTTTTTATTAAATAAATATTTAACAATTGATCACTGAAAAATTAAATTATTCAAGAAAAAGGCACAGAAAAGTAAGGCAGGCAAATGTAATTGATCACTGAAAAATTAAATTATTTTAAAAAAGGGGGGCACAGAAAAGTAAGGCAAGTGAACAGTTTGCAATAAAATGTATCGTGTACTTTTTGATTTCTTTTCTTTCGACACTTTCTAGTGGAAATACTTTAAGATGCTAAATATATTTTTGAGGCCGATTCGATGCTTTGCATCAATTTAAATTGTTTAGTCGTTGTACTAAAATACCCCGGCTTTTAACTGTGTAAATCAAAGAATTTCAACTCGGGCTCGGTATATCAATAATTATTTTATCCACAACGTGCTTTCGTGCTTGGATTGAATTTGTAAACAGAAACTAAGAAAGGGATTCAACACGATGGTTCTTCAGAGAATAGTGTAAAACTCTCGTGTTAATGCTTGCATAACTTCTTAAATTTATCGGTCAAATATTTTTAAATGGATTGAAAAAAGATTAATCTCTTCCGTGGATGATTACTACATCAACGTGTGACCAGCGACCACAAGCGTTTATTTCATACAGCACGCTAGTTTTCTACTGGTAGTGAAAAGTAGCATGCTGTAAGAAACAAACACCTGTGCCAGAGGCGTAAAATAACATTATTGATGCCTCTGGTGTGCCTTGGTCCAATCAGACGTTTCTTGCTTTTTATTGACGGAAATTTTAAGGAAATCATAGTTTTTTTTTAAATAATTTGCAAGCAAATTCAAAGAATTGTGGTCCCCGCTATCGATGTCTTGGTAGTTGGATGCAATTATTTATGGCATATTGTAATAGTCTTGTTTGTATGTCTTTCAAACTTCTAGATCAAGGTTATGAAGTCAAAAATGATATTTTCATATAGGTAATGTACATGTGAAATATGAAAGCCATATCTTCTCTCATTCAAAAGTTCTTACCAGTGTAAACAAATATGAAAAAGACTGAAGGTTAAACTCAAAAGTCAAGGTCATAAGGAAAAAAAACAGAATGCATTCCTAAAGGCCTTGAAAGATCAAATCCACATGTCAGATATAAATTCCCTATCTACTCTCATTCAAAAGTTATCAGCAATGTGAAAATGTTTGAAAACTTTAAGGTCAAGGTCATCGTTAAAAATCATGGTACATTTGGAAAGGTCTTGTCACAGGTAATGAATGTGTCAAATATGATTATCTTATCTTCTCTCCTTTAAAATTTAGCAGCAATGATAAGATTTTTGAAAATGAGGTCAAATTTGAAGGTCAAGGTCACAGGGTCTAACATAGTATATTCGGAAAACTTCTTGTCACCCATAATGCACTAGTCAAACATTAATGCCTTATCTTCTATCATTCAAAAGTTATTACTAATGTAAAAATTTTTGAAAATTAGGTCAGATTTCAAAGTCAATGTTATGGAGTAAAAAATCATGGTATATTTGGAAAGGTTTTATCACAGGTAATGTACGTGTAAAATATGAAAGTCCTATCTCTTCTCAATCAAAAGTTATGACCAAGGTAAAAGTAAATATTAAAATTTTTGAAAAGTAGGTCAAACTTCAAGGTCAAGGTCACAGGGTAAAAATTCATAGAATATTTTGAAAGATTTTGTCACAGGTATTGTACATGTGAAATATGAAAGCCCCATCTTTTCATTCAAAAGTTATGACCAAGGTTAAAGTCTATGTGATTGATAGACTGACAGACGAATGAGATTTAATGTCCCTTGCTTTTGGGACAATGGGGGACAAAAACAATTCCTTTCAGTTTCCATGTTGCAGCCTAGAATTTGCTATCATTAAAATTGTCTCTACGACTTTCAGAAAGCCCAAAACACAGCAAGGAAAACGTTTCTTGGAAAAACGTGAACCTAAACTGATAGAGAATGACAAAAAGGCCATGTTTATCAAAGGTGGAAACACAAGTGATGTTATATCACAGGTTCTTAAAGAATTGGTAAGTTTATCTTACATTATACATATTGTAATTTGTCAACATGTATAAATTACAATTTGGAATTCCCAAATTGTACCAGTCCACCAGGCATCCCTGGTAAATACTGAAGGGTCATATAAAATCTGAATTATATCGTTCAAAATGTCTAACAGTTTTTAAAGACTAGTGTATCAAAATGAGACAAAAAATCTTAGCAAAATCATTTAATTCAATTAACTGTCATCTTATTAATTGCAATAGATAAAATTTTTAATAAAACCCTAATAGAAAGGTCTATATATAGGTATACACAGTTTATTTTTTTTCAATCCAGATTTGTTTTTTTTTAATACACTTATAATAAGCTCACCTGAGCTGAAAGCTCAAGTGAGCTTTTCTGATCACCCGTTGTCCATCCATCTGTAAACTTTTCACATTTTCAACTTCTTCTGAAGAGCCACTGGGCCAATTTTAACCAAACATAGTACAAAGCATCCTTTGGTGAAGGGGAGTTTAAATTGTTAAAAAAAGGGCCAAGCCCCCTTCAAAGGGGAGATAATCAAGAAAAGACAAAAATTGGGTGGGGTCATTAAAAGATCTTCTTCTCAAGAACCACTGGGCAAGAAAGACTGAAACTTATGTAGAAGCATCCTGGGTAGTGTAGATTCTAAATTGTTCAAATCTTGACCATGGGGGTAGGGTGGGGAAACAATAGGGAATCCAAGTTTTACATTGAAATATGTAGTAAAAATCTTTAAAAATCTTCTTCTCAAGAACAGGGCCAGAAAAGCTGAAACTTATGTGGAAGCACTCTGGGGTAGTGTAGATTCTAACTGTTTAAATCATGACCCCCAGGGTGGGGCGGGGCCACAATAGGGAATCCAAGTTTTGCATTGAAATATGTAGAAAAAATCTTTAAAACTCTTCTTCTCAAGAACCACTAGGCCAGAAAGGCTGAAACTTAAGTGGCAGCATCCTGGGGTAGTGTAGATTCTAAATTGTTTGAATCATGACCCCTGGGAGTAGGGCAGGGCCACAATAAGTACTACAAGGGGTGAAAAGGCCAAAGTTACTCAGGTGAGCATTGTGGCCCATGCGCCTCTTGTTTCCTATTTGAGTTAAAAAATTGGGCTGTAATAATTGCCAGCAGCAAGAACAAGTGTGAGAAAAAAAGGACCTCAATCAGCGAAAGTCTTCCATGTTATTTACCAGGATCTTATACTCTTAACCAGACTTATTTATTTTTCATTTTCATGTTATTTACCAGGTAAACATAAATTGCTAATTTATAATATAGTAATAGTAAAGAATGTTTCCGCAGATTTATAATGGGCACTTGCGTGCCTAAGGCCTGTCTCATCACAGACTACAGCGACAATTTAATTGAACAAACTGTGTACCAAATTGAAAGTGATATGGATGATATCATACTAATTGTTAGGCCATTATTTACACACTGAATTGTTGATGGATTTTTCCGTTATTTACCGATCATGACAAGGAGCACACAGCAGGTGTGACCGGTCAGCAAGGGATGCTCACTCCTCCATGGCACCTGATCCCACCTCTGATGTTTCAGAGGTCCATGTTTGCTCTGCTCCTATTTTGTATTATATAATGGACTTTTGAGCTTGAATACTGTTCGTTATCTCCATATATTTCATGGAATAAATTAGCCTGAACCTTATTTGATCCAAATTTACAAAACATGTGCCAGGCTATGTATTTTTACCGTGTTTCGACTCAAAACTCCACAAATAGCAACTTAATTAATAATTCAACTGTCGACATTTTTGCAGCTTTAATCTTTAGAATATTTTGCTTTTTATTACACAAGGTCCCTTCTTTCTGTGACATAAGATATATCACTGCACTGAAGCTGATGTTCTATATTTCTTTGAGTAGTAAAGGACAATGATGTCATAATGTGTATGGGCTATAGTATGTTGTGAGTACTATAACTGAGGTACATATTAAAAAATGAGTTTATGCCTTCTTTGTAAAACAGTAATACCTCTTATGAATTTTAATTAGCTCATTAGCATAGAAACATGCACCTATACATGTTCCTTGCCTTAACTCACAAGCAGAAAGACCATGGGTAACCCAATAGCTTCCAGCTCATTGCTTTGTGAAAGTCTATGGATTAATTTGCAACCTTTTTTTATGTCAATAGGTTTTGTTTGCAAGGAAAGTCATTGGGAAGGATTCTTGCAATGTTACATAACAAAGGGATCATATGGTGGCAGTGCTAAATATCTCAAAAAGGAGAAATATTTTGATAAGCAATATTGAATAAAAGATTTCCAGGATGAAGTTCTTAACAATATGTAGGTGTATTTTTTTCAAATGTTTGTATGTTGACTATATCTGTTTTTTCCTTTCAGTATGTTTTAAAGAAGCACAATTCAGTATCATTTAAAAGGTGAGGATAAAAGAGAAAGAGCCAATCATTATTCTTTTCTTTACAAAAGTAGTTATGAAACCATTTTGATTTTTAGCTCTACTGGTCAGAGACCAGAAGAGCTTATGCGATAGTAAGGTGTCCGTCGTCCGTCCGTCTGTCTGTCTGTCTGTCTGTCTGTCTGTCTGTCTGTCCGTCCGTCTGTAAACAATTTTTCAAAATGCTACTCCTCCTACAGTTTTGGTCTGATTTCAGTATAACTTGGCACACAAGTAAACTACACTAAGATACATAATTCTGTGTATCGGTTTTTGATTTCGATGAACGGTGTTGCCATGGTTACTAAAAATAGAAATTTCTGTGAAAAACATTCAAAATGCTACTCCTCCTACAGTTTTGGTCTGATTTCAATATAACTTGGCACACAAGTAGACTATACTAAGATACATAATTCTGTGTATCGGTTTTTGATTTCGATGAACGGTGTTGCCATGGTTACTAAAAATGGAAATTTCTGTGAAATACTTTCAAAATGCTACTCCTCCTACAGTTTTGATCTGATTTCAATATAACTTGGCACACAAGTAGACTACACTAAGATACATAATTCTGTGTATCGGTTTTTGATTTCGATGAACGGTGTTGCCATGGTTACTAAAAATAGAAATTTCTGTGAATAACATTCAAAATGCTACTCCTCCTACAGTTTTGATCTGATTTCAATATAACTTGGCACACAAGTAGACTATACTAAGATACATATTTCTGTGTATCGGTTTTTGATTTCGATGAACGGTGTTGCCATGGTTACTAAAAATAGAAATTTCTTTGAAATACTTTCAAAATGCTACTCCTCCTACAGTTTTGATCTGATTTCAATATAACTTGGCACACAAGTAGACTACACTAAGATACATAATTCTGTGTATCGGTTTTTGATTTCGATGAACGATGTTGCTATGGTTACTAAAAATAGAAATTTCTGTGAAATACTTTCAAAATGCTACTCCTCCTACAGTTTTGATCTGATTTCAATATAACTTGGCAAACAAGTAGACTACACTAAGATACATAATTCTTTATATTGATTTTCTGATTTCGATGAACATTGTTGCCATGGTTACTAAAAATAGAAATTTCCTTGAAATACCTTCAAAATGCTACCCCTACAGTTCTGGTCTGATTTTAGTAATACTAATTAGCACACAAGTAGACTACACTGAGATACATAATTCTCTGTACCAGTTTCGGATTTCGATGAACAGTGTTGCCATGGTTACTAAAAATAGAAATTTTCTTGAAATACTTTCAAAACGCTACTCCTCCTACACTTTTTGTCTGATTTCAGTATAATGTGGCATACAAGTAGACTACAGAGATACATATTTGGTGTTATTGTTTTTTGATTTTGTTGAATGATGTTGCCATGGTAACTTAAATCAAAATTTCTGTAAAATTGTTTTAAAAGGCTACTCCTCCTACAGTTTTAGTCTGATATTATAATAAATCTTGCCACAAAAGAGACTAAACCAAGGATCATTATTCTGTTTATTGCTGTTGCAAAGTTTCAAGTCCAAGTGCTACTTTTATCTTCCTTTATAAATACAACCAGTAGAGCTACAGTCTCGTCAGAGACTTCTGGTTTTCTTTAATTATAATCTTAGCATTTTCCAGTTTATTGTTTAATATTTCAGAAAGAACATTTTGAGACCATTTGAAGATGAAACACCTCTGGTATGTAAAACTAAATCTTTAATTTGTGAACCTGTATTTCTTTTCTTTCTTTTAGCTTACCTGAGCTGAAGGCTCAAGTGAGCTTTTCTGATCAAAATTTGTTTGTTGTCGGTCATTGTAATCATTGTAAACTTATTACAATTTCATATTCTTCTGCAAAACCAATGAGCCAATTTCAGTCAAATTTGGTACAGAGTATCCCTGGGTAAAAGGGATTCAAGTTTGTTCAAATAAAGTACCACACCCTCCTCAAAGGATAGATTATTTAGAAAAAGTAAAATTTGGTGGGTCCATTTAAAAATCTTCTTCTCAAAAAACCTGGGTCCAAAAAGATGAAACTTTTGTGAAAGCTTTCTGACATAGTGTAGATTCAAATATGAAATCTTGATCCCTGGGGGTAGGGTAGGATCACTATTGGTGATCAAAGTTTTGCATGCATTGGGTATATATAGGAAAAATCTTTAAAAATCTTCTTCTCAAGAACAGGAAAGCCAGGACCAGTCATATTTACCGGTATATGGAAGCATCCATAGGTAGTGTAGATTCAATGGTTCAAATCATGACCCCTGGGTACAGTGGGGTCACTATGGACAATCAAAGTTTTACATGGGTATAATAGAAAAAATATTTTTTTAAAAAATCTTCTTAAGAATTAGAAATCCATGATTATACCAGTCGTATTTATCTAGAAGCATCCTCAGGGAGTGTAAATTCAAATTTGTTCAAATCATGACCCCTGGGGTAGGGTGGGGCTACAATGGGGATCAATGTTTTCCATAGGAATTTGTAGGAGAAATCATTATTAAATTCTGATGAAGAACAGCAAAGCCATGATTAGTTGAATCTATATGGAAGCATCCACAGGTGGTGTATGTTTAGGTTTGTTCAAATCTTGACCACTGAGAATAGGGTGCGGCATTACAAAGCGAAAAGCTTAATAAGAAAAAATTCACAAACCATCAAAACAGAATCTTAGTCATATTAATTCATATTAAGTGTTTCATTATATATATACATGTATAGTTCAAGGAATTTCAGAAAGGAACATGTTCCTTTGAAGTAATGTAGCTTACTTTTTGTTGTAGGAATTTTTTGCTAAGAAGACAGATGCCTCTTTGTTTATGTTTGGTTCACATAATAAGAAGCGACCTAATAACCTTGTACTTGGTAAGTTAATTTACTTTAGGTTTAGAAGTTCAAGATTAAATTTGGTAGCATAGTACAGTATACTTACAGTGTGTACATTACACCAATTTTTAAAAAAAAATTTTTTTATTTGTTTAGGTCGATTGTTTGACTTTCACATATTGGACATGATTGAACTAGGCGTTGAGAAATTTGTATCAATGACAGATTTTCCTGTGAGTTGTTTATCTTATTAAACTATTTATCCAATTAATTTTACAGATTTATTAATTTTTCAACCAAAGTACAAAGAAATTCATATATTCATTCTTGCTTGAGTATCAAGCAAGCTTTTTAGATGGTTTTGATATTTGCTTCAAAAGTCAAGAAATGTCTCCTTTTTATACTAAATTAATATCATTAGCAATGCAAGGATTATATGTTGTTTGAATAAGATATAGACAGGCTGACTTTATATCAGTTATGTATCTGTGTTTTCTGCATATCTGTACAGACTTGTCAAAATTTTGAAATCACTGTCAGACATTTGTTCTGACAAAGTCAAATGTTCTGTCAGACCAGACGAAGTTTTGTCAGACCAGACACATGTACCTTATTTTGATGCTGAGAAAGGAAAATGAATAACTGCACCAAAATACCCTTTATTGTTTTCAACAGCCTTCAATCTCAGGATTGAGAGTCTTTAATAAGAGACATATATAACATATTTTATGTCTTTCCTGTAACAATTTAAATTGACCATCGTCACTATGCTGCGCACTCGGCCATCTCTTCTGCGTTTGTGACCCTCAGTTGCGCATCCCAATCATGACCTTTTTTAAATTCGCGTCACGCTTGATTTTTTCAATCGGTCATTTGGACCGACTTTTTCTTAAAAGTTATCAGTCCAGACAATTTTTTACCGGCCTTGCCGACAGGACCGACAGATTTCGACAAGTCTGTCTGTAGCTCAATGGTCTAAAAACAAAATGTAATGGAGTATCATCCCAGTTTGTTCAGACCAGTGAGCTACAGGTCTGCAGCTATGTTAAAAATAGATAGCTAAGCTTTTTGTCATTGGTCTGTGCAGTAACTCCACCCTCTCCATTGTGTTACCTGTGTCTTTGCACATTCTTCCTGCTGTAGCTAATGCTGGATTTTTTTCCTACTGTATATTCATCACTGAGTCTTTTATGCAGGGAGGTAAATGTTCGGAGGGCACAAAGCCATGTTTGATGTTTGCTGGGGAGACATTTGAAAAAGATTTAGAATACCAGAGGCTGAAAAATCTACTGATTGGTAAGTGGTCTAAGATCTTATTCATTAAATTTATAGGTATATTGGTTCTGAAAATAATTCTTTATCTACAAGGCTTTGATGATAGACAATTTCCCCCTTTTCATTTTATTAGTTAAATGTATATAAAGGGTTTGCTTGAATTTTTTTTCCGAAAGAATTCATTTTTTCGTGTAACATAGTGTAAAACTTTACTATAACAGTGCATTATGGTATTTAATTTTTGTATTTCCAAAAAATAAATTATAGCTGATTATACACATAAAAGCACCCTTTTAATTTCACAATTACTCATTAAATAAAGATTAAATCACAGTCAAGTTTTTTTAAAGTACTTGTGGAATGTTTATATCTGATCTGTTCCTAAATGTTTTACTGAGAATCTTCTCATGTATTTACAATTTGGCTGCAGATTTCTTCCAAGGCCCGGTAGTAAGTCAGGTTCGATTGGCCGGATTGGAACATGTGATTATGATAACAGCCGTGGAAGGACAAATCCTCCTCAGAAACTACAGGTAAATCTCAGGTGTTGAATGATATTCCTGAATTATCCTCTTAATCAGATTCCTGAATCGCAGACTCTCAATTTCCTACTAGATAGAGATACTAGAGTGGGTGGGATGGGGGATCCAGAATCCATCTCTCCACAACTTAAATCTTGTTCATACTAATATATTTTGAAGTAAACATTCTATAGACTTATACTTAGGCACAAAGTAGCTAATGACCACTAGAGAGTGTGTCCTCAACTCAAGTTCATTCAAAATTGTATAATTCTTACCTTACCTGGGCCAGTGTGGATAGGGATATATTTTACATATGCTTCTTGTTCACCAGAGTGTTGCTGAAGAAGTCTGGAAGCAAGACACCTCAAATTGAATTGGAGGAGATTGGACCCTCACTGGACCTCAGGATGAGGAGGACCAAGCTGGCCTCAGAGGACCTCTACAGAAGGGCTCTCAAACAGCCCAAAACCATCAAGGTACTTGTTTCTAGAGAGCCCTATACTGCCAGGGTTTTGTTTAGGGAGGGGAAAGGGGGTATCAGCTTCTTATGGTAATAGAATTCTTTATTTTTTAAGAAATACTCAGATAAATTACTGTGATTTTGTTAATTTTTGTGTTGATCAAAATTCATGGTTTTGGCAAAAAGTACTATTTCATTGATATTTCAATCTGTTGACAGCCATCTCGTTCCATTCTATAATTACCAAAGTAAAGTTGTGATTCATTGATTACCTATTTCTTGGTTTGATTCTTCAACGATACAGTGTAACAACAAAAATTGGTGTCATAAGTCATAGTATTGTGTTTTTAATAAATGTAATATTATAATAGTATTCTTGTTTTAATACTAGCCAAGGAAAAAGAAAAATGTATCACATGATGCTTTTGGATCTAAACTTGGAACAATCCACATGACAAAACAGAATCTAGATAAGTTACAGACAAGGAAAATGAAAGGACTGAAAGCTCAAAAACGGAAATCTAGTGCTGGAGAGGGACAGTCAAGTGCAAAAAGGTCAAAGGAGTCTGAAACATGACAACAAGAAGTTTTAAATGTGTACACAATAAAGCTCAATTTATGAAGGAAAGGGAACATTGTGGATCAGACAGCTTGAAATTTCAGATCTTGGACAGTTTATACACATCAGTCATGGATTATAAGAGCATTTTTATGCCAAATGCAAAACGATATGTTGAACTTAAAAATTGCAATGATATAATTGTACTCTGTTTAAGCAAAAAACTTTGAAAAGGGCTTTTTTGAAAGATTTACTTCAAATTGTATTGAATATTTTCATTATCATGGTTGTTTCTAGATCTTATTTAAAAATAATCCAAAAATGTTGCAAATATTTTATGACATAATTGGAAAAGATTTTAACTATGTCCATAAAAAGCTGAAGTGCAATAAATCTGATTAAAGATACTGTGTGTGTGGGCTTTCTTAGTTACAGTTGAACTGCTTTTACTCATCTCTATGGCAGAATGAAAGATGGTATGTACAGATTTATAGGTAATTTTAAAAAGAAGTTTACAAAGAAGGGATACTGGTACTCATCTTATAAAGGTTTATATACATGTAATAATTAAGTTGTGAACAAATTTATCACAACAGATCATTTTAACAGGTTTTGCAATAGCTATTTTGGTTTGTCAGAACATATTTTTCTAACTTTATGCACATTCACATATGAACTGATCTTAAACTGGAAAAACTATATCCAGCCTGGAATATTTGACATCAACGAAACATTGAAAATAAGTATTTCACTTCAAATTCATGGCAAAATGAACCAGAATAGCAAAAAGAAAAAGATTTTTTTCTCCTTTGTTCTATATTGGGAAGAGGATTGAAAGCAATGCTGTATTGATCTGGGGCCCGATTTACAAAAGAACTGACGACTAAGACCAAAATTTAGTTCTTGTTTATATAAATTTCAAATTCACATTAAATTGAAATGATTTTAAAATTTTTAAATAGAATGTAGAAAGATATTTTTACGCTAGCAATTTGAAACAGAATTATTATTTTTGCAAAATTTTACAATCAACTGAAGTTTTTGGCCTTCGTTGTAAGTTCTTTTCATTGTAGAACAGGCCCCTGATCTTTAATTCTTATAAGAATGACTCTGTATCTCAGCTTATCTTCATATATTTGGAATTTTACTAAGAATATGTACATCTTTGAGACTTCTTACATTTGAAGATTTTTTTTTTTTTTTTTTTTTTTTTGAATTTTTCTTTGTAAAAAATCATTAGATCCACCTAGCAGTACAAGTTGTTAGAGTTATCTTTCTTGATGATGCGTCATCATTTTTTGTGCACACTAGTGCACAGTTGCCTTTGACAACGATAAAGCTCCTGAGAAGAACCGGAAAGGTAAATATTGTTAGTTTCGTCTCTGTTTGCTTTAAATAAGGTAAGATTGTTGAAGAGATTTTAAATTAGTGTCTTATGTCACATTGAATGTACAAATGTGTGATAACTGACTTGTTAAACACCGTTGTTATTGTAAAAGACTGTCCAATATTTACCTTGTACTTTGAGTATTACAGTAGCAAGGTAAACCATCCTAGATTAGCCTAATTTTGACGACGTCTTTGAACTATAATTTGAAGTACCCCAATTTTAAATTTCTGATAAAAGGGGGAAATCATAATTTTAGTGAATTGGACGGTTTTAAAATGTGCAAAATGTATTGCAATTATAATTAATCATCTTAATTCAAAGTTTGCATATATGCAAAAAGGCCTAACAAATATCATGCAAACATGTATGCCATGGAACTTAATGTTCATGTTGAATGTACCTGGTAAGTCACTAAGTGCCAGGTACATCTGTGACCTCTTCAAAAAGTATTGCATTTTTTTTTTCATTTCTTACTGAGTCAACTCTGGATAATGCAAATTAAGACCATAGTCCCAAAATAGTTAATATATACATTTTGTCACATTTGTGTGAAAAATAGGTGAACATGCTCTAATAGTGAGAGAGATAAAATATTTATTTATTCTGTTAGAACAGTCAATATGGGGCCACTCCCACAAGGTAGTAGAAATGTACACATCATGGCTAGCCAGGGTCCGGACATCAACATGATGAAGTTCTACAACACAACAAATTCCACCACGTACGGTCGATATTACGATAAGTTCAAGCCACGTCCAGGTCGGCACACAGGAACAGGATATCTGTCAAATTTCCGACCTGCTGTTTATTATAACCAGCGTCTGGACGAAGTGGACAATCCTGTCCTTAGGTACATTCCAGAGTCCATATGTTAAAAAAAAATGATTTGTAGCATAAGTGAACATATCATAATGTTGTCTTTGCTGGCCAAGTGTTTCCGCAATGACTTAATATCTTCATATGATGAGACATATTAACACATGCCTTAAGAAGCTGTGGCTAGATTGGTAATTAACTAGTTGTTCGGGTTTAAATCCATACATTAATTGTCATAATTCAGCTCCTGATCATTAAAGAATACACTTTAACTACCATTGTTTAGTCCATCCAGCTATGAAAAAAGTTTATTCAATGATGGCATTACGTTCCATCCAGGGGAGTTTTAGGTAGACTGCATATTATTTAATTGAATGTAGAGTCTAGAATTTAGGAGGGTTATTTAAGCTTTCAAACTTTTAAGTTGCAGTTTTAGTTCCCAAACATTTATTATAGCTTCCTGTTAAAGTCTTTAATAAACTGTATGTGAACTTATTTTAGCAATTCATATTTTTATGCCATAGGGACAATCCTTTGTATACCAATTTATAAATACTGTCAAAGTTAGCAAAAGAATTATTCATATAAATATAATACAGTGAAACTCAGTTGTAGCAAAATCCTGGTGACCTGTGAATTTACTTCACTATGTATCTATAATTTATTATATCTGCATAACACAAATTTCTTAATATAGAGTGAATTTGCAGATATCAATATTTTTTATTGTGTAAAAAAAAAAATTATTTATATTTTTTTAGTAAAATTTGTGCAAAGAATTACCACAGTGTGACGGAGCTCCACTTCCAGCCTTACAAAGAAAACACTGGAACCGAACCACTGCCAGGAAACGTCCATCAAAAGGGGTCAGGGTTTGTCCGACAGAAACCCATCACTAACCCAACTGTTGGAGAAGTAAGCAACATGAGCACAAACAGATATAAACTCCAAACAAATGAAATTCATACATTTGATTTACCAACTAATTTTGTTAAAATCAAATTAATGTTGTCAATAAAATTTGGTCAAAAAATGTCATGCTTTATGTAAAACTTTTGAATTCCTAATGTTAATTACAAACCTTTATAGTACGAAACAATTATATATTTACATGGACATAGTTGATGATTTGTCTGTTTTAGGTAAATGGAGTGTTTATTGACACCCGAGCTGCCTCTGCCCCGAGTGATATCCTTCCTAAGAATAAACCTCGCCTACACACTCTCAGACCCAAGGACCCTGTAGAACTAGAGAATAATGGATACGTAAGACTGCATTCATGTATCTTAATTACTTATTTTTGTCAGGCAGTAGATGCTTTTCATTCTGGAAAGAAAGAAACTGTGATTGCATGGTTTCTCTGAGCCCAGAGTTTTTTTTGTAAAGGATATATAATATAAAAAATAAGTTTGAAACGTACTGCTGGAATTTTAATTAAACATACCATAAATTACAATGAGTTAAAAGATATATATCCCAGAGCATGCAGTAATAAAATGTATACGAATTTTTTTTTAATTTCAGGGTCCAAAGTATATGCTTTCTGAAACCAAGCATCAATTTCTGGGAGAACAGCCAGACAGAAGTAAGGGGAAAAAACTTGTTCATGAAATATATGTAATGTTTTTAACCATTGTAAATGCACTGAATGTATGACTTTATGTGTCGCTAATCTCAAGTGTAAATTAGCTCACAAACACTGTGTTGATTGAAATTGTTCTCTATGACATTGTGTGTGTGCACAAGTTGAATTGAGCAGTCTGAAATCTAGATCACTGTTTGTTGTTGTAAAATGGAATTGATGTTTTTTTGAATTTGAATTTTACAGAGATTCATGGTAAGATATAGATCATATCCTTGAGATGAAATGATGATCTAGTTAAAAATTGGGAATATTTGGGGAATTAAGAGATTCTTAAAAATATATTTGCTACAATTATCTTATTTAATACTTGTTGAGTTTGGATATTCAATCATATTTTATGCTTTTGCTTGTACACATAATGATTCAATAATTTACTTGACAGTCTTATTTTGGTGGGTCTTGAGAAAAATTAAATTATACATGTACAATCCTATTGACACCAGAGAAAAATCGTCATTTCATCTCTTAAATAACATGTTATATCTTCTCTCTGATTAGTTATCCCCTATCTTAATGGTTTCCCAACTATTTTTGAAATTTATTTTTTTTTCATCTGCTTAACAGTAGCTTTTCAAATCTTGCAATTTCCTCTTTAATTTCTTTTCTTTTCTTTTTTTTTGTATTTGTTACATACATACATTATCAAATTCTGCATTACTGTGTCAGGGTCTGTTACATTTCTACTGAAGGTAACCATACTTTATATTCTATTAGCTATGCATGACTCACAAGCCCTCGGAAATGTTCATCTATACATTTATTAAGAAAAATATACTAATTATGGTATTATGCATGTAAATTCATGTAGAAATTCATTGACAGTATCAATCTAGTTACAATTTAGCATGCTTTTATTTCTTTTTGCATTTACCTATATAAGTATCTATGGCTCCACCCCTTGTAGAGTGTAGGATCAAGCATTAGTTTATTGTAGTGTTTTAGTCTTCAGAAATTTATAATACCTGTATCAGCCTATTTTCATGTAGATTGCATACATTTTTTGTAGATGATGGTAGAATCATAAGTAATCAGTCCTCGTATATGCCGAATGGAAATTTTAATAGTCATGGATTGCCATCATTGCTGACTTCTTTATCTGATATAAAGTATTTTATTCTAATAGTGTGTTTGTATTATAGTGGATTTGACCAACAAGACTGTTGGCCCACATGAAGAGAGTGGATTCACGCATGCTTATAATGTAGAACCAATCACATACATCCCAGGGTCACCTCACAAAAATGACCTTCCGGTGAGTTGTGTTCCCTTTACTGTTACCAGTAAACGTTATTCCAATTTCCTTTGTCTTTCTCTATGGCTGTAAGGTCTCTAAACCTTTGCTAATTACCTGACCTTCTGTTACAGGGTTGGGCTACAGGGCGACCTACTGGTAGTAGCATAATGAAAACTCATTTCTTACGATCAGAGTATCCCAAGGTAGGTAAAAAGATTCTGTATATGCCTGAATAACTCAACAAAACATTGTGTCAATACAACTTGAACCTTTTTAAAAAGTTGTTCTGATGATCATTAACAGGGTAATGAGCCTTTCCCAGTGTTGTCTCATGGTGCAGAGCGTGGAACGGGATTCACCCGAGAGAAAGCTAAACCTCTGTATGTCAACAGAGTCATGGCAGATGTAAGTCTACTCCCACTGAATCCTGTGATGTAAAAATTGAACCACAAAATTAAAAGATATTTTTGTTAAAGGTAGAATGACTATTTCCTCAATTAAATGAACCACAAAAAAGTAAACCATTTCTGTTTAAAGAAAAAATGAACCTGTGTTCTTTTTTTTTTTTTTTTTTTTGTGGAATGATGACAATTTTTAAATCAAATCATTGGAGAAAAAATTAAATATTGAAGCAAATTTATCACACATGCAGAACTGAGACTAATTATTCCTGAAGGTGAAATTTTGTAAAGGAAATACGCTCACTAATTTTGTATTTTCTCTTTAGACACAAGTTTATTTGTCCTTAAAGTACTGAGTACTCCTGTAGCTATTGCATCATCACTATTTATATTTTATTAGGCCTATGACAGGGCAGAGAACATTCCCTCCATGAGACTGGACAAAACAAAGAAGGTGGACCCCACAGAGTATCTCAATATGCAGAATCCTAACAACCATTCCAGGTAAAGGCCAGTAACTCTTAACCCTCCCCCCAAAAAACAAGTAAATCAGCTATAAAAAGAGAGAATTTTTTCCACTAACATTGAAATAAAATCATTTTTGTAGTATAATCCATGTGGAAATAATCTAAACTGCAAAAAACATTAGACAGTTTAATTTTACTTTGTTTCTAGAAAATTTGAAATGCTTTATAGAATATGCAGTGTGTATATGGTGTAGAATTTGATGCATGTTACATTAATTTTTAGTTAGATTTGGTGTGGTATTACATTGAGGAATACAGGGCCTCTGTCATTATTATTATTCTGCATGATAAATCTGATCAAATTTTAATATACGACTTACTTTTTGTGCAGCATTACAATGAAGATGTACCAGGGACAACAGCGGCCATCTCCCACAGAGGCTGACCGACTCAACACCACATCCGTGGGTAACAAAGAGTTGTCTGGCTATAGCGAGAATAACGACAGATTTGTCGCCCAGTCTGATGATTACAAGAGGTTCACCACTCACTACGATACCAGGTCTATTATTTATTGCTTCTAGAATTGTTCAGCAAACAAACAAAAAGTGACACAAGATACATGTATTCAGTTTTTTACTTGCAGTAAATGCAGGACATTATAAGGAATATGTATCTTAAGACATTTATTTACTTATGGAACATATGCAAGCTTAAAGTTCATGTTATAAAAGATTACATGAAGTTTTCTCTGTGTTAAAGGTTTGGACCAGACCCCACCCCTGTGGGTAAGGACAGAGAAGGCCACACAAGGGGAGCTGTACAACAACAGAAACTGGACGGATTCACCAAGAGCACCGCTGTCCACTCTTATGGACCTGATGTCCAGTCTACAGCCACATTAAGGAGGCTGGAGCCATACGTAGCCAGGTATGATAATATGGAAAAATGTATTCCCTACTTAAGCCAAATCTGTTCTCTTTCTGCAAGCACAGTCAAATATTTTGTTTGAACGTGTATCAAAATTACAATTTACAAAAGCTTGGATAGCCTACTCCTTTGGAGAAACCTTTGATATTCAACAACTGAAGTTTGAGGTACAGAAGTTCAGTTAAACTTAGAACTTGATTTCAGACGAAATGAGTATAAATTAATCTTTGATTCAAGTCCTGGTTAAAGATAGATTTTAAACTTACACAGAATTATTACACCAAATGTTTTTGTGAGACTATAGAAGTTTGTTTGTTGTTTAACATCCCTCTCGAGAATTTTTCACTCATTTGGAGACGCCACCACTTGCCTGTGGAGGGCTGCAAATTTATGGTCTCATCTGAAGGACTGGTCTCCATGTCCCACAGTGGGACTCAAACCCAGGACGTAAGGATCAACTCCTTACTCTGTGACTCTAGAGCAAATGCTCTAACCACTGCGCCACATGGGCAATAACGATAGAGGTGGCAAATTTATTGTTGGAAAGATGTATTGGATTTTTATTCAACAGTCTTGTATATGCAATCACGTGATGATAAGGATAGATGTCCAAAAAATATTCCTTATCTATTATTATAGAATAAAAATAAATAACCTCTGTATGTGAAGTCTTATGCATGTCTTTCTTTTCACAGGAGTATAAAAGCTCGAGATGTTTTCTACGATGATCACACACACGACATGAAGACACACTCTGTAGTTGTATCATAATGAAGAGGAAGAGCATAAGAAGATATGTTAATTAACGATAGGGACAGTAAATAACTGCTGGTCATAAAGTCATTGCAATATTAATTATGTATGCAGGTCTTAGCTGAACACGGTATGGAGGATTATAAACTTTATATCCCCACACGTATTCAGCAATTTTTTTCTGACAAAGTGTTTAAGAAACCATTTTTATTTTGTTAAGTTTTAGATTGTGTCTTGATAAACATAATATTTTTACCCCAATATTATTTTACCCTGTTCTATATTTGATTAAGTGCTGTAGTCCTCTGTAGGTATGTGATCCCCTTCAGTATTATATCTGTTCATTGTTTGCAGCTCTATTCTGGACATCATCCATTCAGACAATTTGTGTCATTTTCTTTTTCGACTCAAAGAGTCTGCTGGATGATAATACAGGCTGCTGCTTTGTCAAATTTCTCTATAATATATTCTACTGTCTCAAAATAGGACTGTGATACTTTTGTTAAATGTTTTTAACAATCATGTTTTGTAAATTTTGTTATTTTTTTTTTTTTTTTGACAGGGTTTCCATGTTTGTTATGGCCGTTGGTGTATTTAACAAACTGTTAAGAATTTTGTACTATTATTTAAATCTTTACCTATTTCTAAGGGTAGTAGACCACACTTTGCTATATTACACACAGGATGGAGGAAAGCCTCTTCTTCCTTCCTGTATTTACAGGATAGAAAACTCGGGAGTTTTCCTTGCTGTATTATGTTGCTGTATTTTACAGGATAGATAACTCGGGAGTTTTCCATGAGGAATTATGTTGCTGTATTTACAGGATAGAAAACTCTGGAGTTTTCCTTGCTGTAGTATGTTGCTGTATTTTACAGGATAGAAAACTTTGGAGTTTTCCTCACTGTATTATGTTGCTGTATTTTGCAGGACAGAATTTTTTTTCCCTTTGCTGCATGATTATGCTGCTAATTGTGTATATTTGAAAGTATACACAATACTTACAATTCAGATGATTTATATATATATGATGTGATTTTATAGGAATGTTTTGTCAGAAAATTGTACGTGTTAAGGTTATTATAATGCATGCCCATCAGAACTTATTTCACTGAAAAAAAAGGTGTACACATAATAAAGTCAGTGAAAATCTAACCTGCTCATATTTTCACTCTTTTATTTTTATTTTATTTGGAAGGTTTGAATTTGTTGTCAAAGAGAAATAGAAATTAGACAGCTTCATGATTTTAATGTCTAAACAGTAATAACAACAATTTCAGCATGATTTTTATGAAGAAATTCACAGATCCTTTATTTTGATTGAGAATCAATCAACAGTGACTGTCACACCCTCATATAGTTTGATTTATAGACACCCTATCCAGTATATCACAGAACACATAGTATAAATCCAGACATCCAAGTCATCAGGATTCCTCAAAATCCAGATCATCCAGTTCATTTGCTATTTCTGTGTTGACTTGTGTCTCTATACTGGCTGGAATAACATCCAGACAAATATCATACTGCTGATCCAGTCCTAAATAGGAATCGCTCATTAAGTACAGGGTGTAGATCACACGCCCTGTGTTCTCTGGGGTATAGATGGCCAATGACTGTTTGGATGAGCCCCTGATGTAACTAACTCTCTTCAGAGCCATCACTTCATGATTCTCAATGTCTCCCACAATAAGAAACCAGCCCTCATCCTTTAGCTTTGGAAATCGAGGGGCATGAGCCTTACTCTCTCTCTTCTGAAAACAAAAAATAACATGCTTGTACAAAAAACAGATACCTTTGTCAGTATCACAGAACAGGAAAAACACGGTCACCCATTGCATGTAGTGGTTAAAATCAAACATACTAATGTTGCTGTTGAGTGGACTGACCTTGAGTTTGTTGATTCTTTGTAAGCTGACCTCTATGACATACTCCTGGTCAGCATGCACCTGAATCCAATCACTGTCTGGTCTTCGACCACCTGTGTTACAAAATTCTCTCATTCAGAACACTAAACTCAGCAGTATATATTAATTATCACAGCAAACAGTTGATAATATTCTCCTTTTATTGTCCTTTACCTGTCTTTGATTTGTTGACCTTCCTGGCTTCCTGTTGACCTACACCTCCTTCCCACCAACCTTTGACCTCTATGTTGACCTGTATCTGAGGGAGGGTCCCAATGACCTGGTAGAGCTGGTCGACCTGATTCCTCTGCATATCATCCCCAAGCAAGGCCATTACAGCATCAAACTTCCCATCACACACGGCAAGGAATTCTGGGAGGGTTTGAATAGGGCCTTGAATATCGGGGAATCCTTTTTTCTTGGCTCCTCCCCCTCTGGGTCTTGAAATAAAAAGGAATGCAAAAGAATTTCACAAAGAATTCTCTGTTTATACTCATATCCATTTAACATTAGCTCTACTTATACCTTGAGCTATAAATGAAGTGGCAAAAGGCAAATCACACAGCCAGGACATGTGGCCTTACTATATGAATACCTAAAGAATGACAGAGTTGTGTACCTTAGGCAACTGAGATGATATGGAGTCATATGAGGTAAGGTCAGGAGGGCACTGTCATGGTACCATCGACCCTGAACAACCATCTGAATGAGCTGTGTAATTCTAAGGGAGGTCACTAGCCAGCCCTCATCTGCACTGACATCCAGCATGGCCTAAAAATGATTCAGTTTCAGATATTACCAATGTGTATCCTTGAATGAAGCCCCCAATCAATTAGGGAAATAGATTGCTGACTTTGTTCACTTTTGGCTAAAGTAAGTTTTCAGTATTTTTAGCCAAAAAAAAAAAATTTAAAAAAAAATGGAAAAAGACAAAAATCTTTTGTGTTTATCAATCCAAAACTAGTAATATAAAATTCAATACCTGAAAACAAAGTTTCATTCATTTTTAAGAAGTATGATAAATCATTAAATACAGTCAAGCTTGGGTAATCCAGATGTCAATAATTTGGATACTTCATCTTTCATCATTACATTTCAGTAATCCATCAGCTTCATTAATATGGACGATTCTCTTGGGAACAAAAGTATCCAGATGAATGAAGCTCGGCTGAATTAAGAACCTCTTTATAAAATAAGTTACCTGGAGAATTCGGATAGCCTGGTCCAGTACAGACTTGGTATCTGTATTGTAGTCTGTGGAGGGTAGGGGCAGCTGACCAAAATGGCACTGTAACAGTATGTGGGTTTTGGTGTGGGAGGAGTCATAAGTGTGGGGGTTCACTTCCAGAGGTACCTTCTGGGCAAGCTCACTACAAAAAAGTATATGTCAACTAATGACCACAAAATAGTAAATATAACTATATAGCATCTTGTGCTACACTCTTAAAACTAGAACTGTCCAAAAGGGATTAATATCTACAGTGTATCCATAGATGCACTATAAATATCGGTATTCAAGTTTGGTTGAAATAAACCTTGAACTGACCCGAATACTACCAAGATTAACTTTACATCTAGATGTAGATGACTTACCTGTTAATCTGGTCCTCATTGTGACATACCTGTTAATCTGGTCCTCATTGTTTCTGACCTTAGATGACTCACCTTTTAATCTGGTCTTCACTGTGTATGACCTTAGATGAATTACTTGTCAATTTGGTCCTCATTGTACCTGACCTAAAGATGACTTACCTGTCAATCTGTTCCTCATTGTGTCTGATCTGTAGATGACTTATTTTTTAATCTGGTCCTCATTGTATCTGATCTGTAGATGACTTACCTGTCAATCTGGTCCTGGTTAGGTCTGACCTATAAATAACTTACCTTTTATGACCTTAGATTACTTACCTGTCAATCTGGTCCTCATTGTGTCTGACCTTAGATGACTTACCTGTTAATTTGGTCCTCATTGTGTCTGACCTGTTGATGACTTTTCTGCTAATTTTGTCCTCATTTATGTATGACCTTGGATGACTTACCTGTTAATCTGGTCCTCAATGAACCTGACCTGTAAATGATTTACATATTAATCTGGTCCTGGTTAGGTCTGACATGTAAATGACCTACCTTTTAATCTGGTCCTGGTTAGGTCTGACCTAACCATGACTTACCCTTTAATCTGGTCCTCATTGAGCATGACCTTAGATGACTTACCTGTTAATTTGGTCCTCATTGTGTCTGATCTGTAGATAACTTACCTGTTAATTTGGTCCTCATTGTGTCTGACCTGTAGATAACTTACCTGTTAATCTGGTCCTCATTGTGTCTGACAGGTAACTGGGCATACTCCTCTGCATCCTACAAAGTCAAGTGTAAACAACAGAAAAGTCATAGGATTCATATGAATGAGTTGATACATTCATCATTTTCTTTATGTCAACTAAAAACAAGTTCTAGATCTTATATTATAGTCTTTGTAATGACTCTGATAAAGGTGTTAAAAAATGAGGTATATTTTCATGGAAGAAAGTTTGAGCATCCAGTGAAAAACTCATGTTTCCAAAATGGGTTGAAACTATACACCATATACTATGCTCAAACAGTATAAATTCAATATGCCTAAATCTTTGATCTAAATGGCATAAAAAATAATCATTTTCTCTACTGTCAACATAACTCAAAAAGATTGACCCTTTCTACTTCATTTCATTGATTAAATTGTAGAGAAAAATGTCTAATTTTGATAAATTACAATCTGTTGTCCATAAACCTAAAGACAAAGACAAGTTCACATGACTTGCACAAGTTACCATACATATACTGCCTTTAAAGATAAAGATGTACTTACAGAGAGTATCTGTATGAGGTCTGACATGGTACACTCTGCCTTGAGTTCATCCCTAAACATCCTCATGGTCTTGTGGTTCAGGTAATAATAGGATGCTATCCTCCCAAGAGTCAAAGGTCGCACACCCCTCTGATCCTGTAAAAACACAAAAGTAGGTTCAATGCAAGTTCTTGGGTTTGTGTCAAAGATAGGATATCTAATATTGCAGACTTGATGCAGTACTTACATCATCTATCTCAGTACTTACATCATCTATCTCAGTACTTACATCATCTAACTTAGTACTTACATCATGTATCTCGGTACTTACATCATCTATCTCAGTGCTAACATCATCTATCTCAGTGCTAACATCATCTATCTCAGTACTTACATCATCTAACTCAGTACTTACATCATCTAACTCAGTACTTACATCATGTATCTCGGTACTTACATCATCTATCTCAGTGCTAACATCATCTATCTCAGTACTTACATCATCTATCTCAGTACTTACATCATCTAACTCAGTACTTACATCATGTATCTCGGTACTTACATCATCTATCTCAGTGCTAACATCATCTATCTCAGTACTTACATCATCTATCTCGATACAATAGGAACACTCCAGCTCATATAGAGCCTTCTCCACAAGAGAGGACAGGAACTTGTTGATGGAGTCAAAATCTGTACCATCCAAGTTGTAATATCTGTAAAGAAAGAAAACACACTGATAACTTGGAAACACTGAAAGACTGTCACCAATAAGAGAAGGATTTGCTAGGGGCATTATTTTGTTCTTTCTTGAAAATTTATGGCCTATTTATTTTATTCTGCCCTTTACTCTGTCATTAATGTATACAGTACAACACAATTATTCTAAACCTTTTTATATTGATGTCCTGCTTGTAATGAAGTCATATTTGTCATGAAGTAAAATAAAATTAAGGTATTTTGACTTAGAATAACAAATTCTGGAAATAATTAACACACAGTACCAGAAGTTTGTTACCACCATAAATAACTGTACAACTGATTTAGGACTTTTTTTGTCATGCCTTGAAACTCTGTGTGTTTTATAAGGACAAAGTTCCGATTGAACCCCTATGACCCACTTTAAATTATGCCCTTTGGATTGTGTGTTAAAGTAAAATGAAGAGGAGATATTGTATTGTATCAAAACATCTAGTAGTGTGTTCTTTGGAAATGTTTTTGAACATTACATTGTACATTAATGTACAATGTTAATAGCAAGGGCTAAATTTCTTTAAGAATGTTTGGAACATTTGTTTGTACACATTTGCCCTGTCCACATAAAACTATATGTCTGATTATAAATGGGAATGAAGTGTTTAAGGGGATGAAGGACACATGGTCACATGACTCTGTTTAACTACGTCATAGTTTCCGTTTATATAAGTGCAAAACATGTAAAGCATCAGTTCTTGTATAATTTTTTGACAATTTTTTAATTTAAATTACCATCTTATATTGAAAAAATAAAAAAGTTTTAACATTCTTGTAAACATTAACAAATTATGAAAAAGATTGATCCACTCCTCCGTTTCCCTAAACTGTGCATCCAACAAGTTGGTGACGTCATACACGATCTGTTAGTACAGCAAGATCATACTCGATGAACACAGGGGTGGCATTATTATGTAAAAACAGGTCATAATCAGTATATGATGAAATATTTTGAGAAACGGGGAACACAAAATTTATTTTTGCATGACTGATCACGGAAATCTTATGTAGGTATATCTTATTTCGCTTTTTTAGCTTACATGTGACGTCATAGTTGGTTTTTCCCGTACTTGAGAAATGTAACATGACACGTTTTTGTCATGCTTATGTCCTCTTTAACAATGTCCTGTGAAATAATGAGGTCAGCTTTATCATTCGAAATTTTTACAGTTAATCAAGAATTTAAAGGATTTGCATTTCAACATAAATTAAAAAATATTGAATGATAGAATTTTTTGTAAATTACATTTTTTATTGTTTAAGTTGTCTTAAAAAGTGCGTAATTTTCCCTATCCATAAGCAGTGTGATATACAAAACTTGCTTTTTCGAATTTTAAATCCTAGTTATACATGTTATACTCTGAAATATTTTAAATGATACATACAATGGAAAATTAAAACTCCACTTAGATACTGTAGGGCATAGTATTTGTCATTCAATATCTCCAAAATAAGGTAAGAAACCTAATGATATAACTGCTTTAAGATATGTGGGACATACTTAATTAGAAATATACAAAATATGAAAAAAAATTGAAAGACAAATATTTTTTCAGCTCAAGGTCCTTCTCCTCCTTAAAGTAATCACAGTAGCATATCTGGAGGGATCAATACTTCTCACCCAAAAATAGGTAATAAAACATCTTAAATACAGTTGAACTTCGTTATCTCAAACACAGATATCTCGAATACCATGGCTATGTCAAAGTGATTGGGAAATCCTAACCATGTATTTCTAAAGTATTTTACCCTCGATATCATGAACCCTCAGATATCTCAAAGTTTTTTCTCGGTCCCTGATCGAGTTCAAGATAACAAGATTTGACAGTATTGAGAAACAGGATAAAATCTAGAGATTTGTAAAATGTTTAATAAGGAGTGACTTTATTATCTTTCATTTCGGAGATCTGTCAGTCTACACAGACATATTACAAACAGTACCTCCTGAAACTTTTAAAAGATTTTAAATAACCAAACATGTTATAAAAGTCCAGTGCAAAAGTTGAAAACGATTTAAAGAATAATGCAAATTTCTAAAGACACAGAGTTGGATTGATTCAGGACATAAAAAGGACATTACAAAGACTAAAATGGCAACCTTAACAAAACAACATGGCAAATTCCTGTCTGCCCTGACAATCCTATCTATAGAAACCAGGAAACAGAAATAAAATCCCCAAGTCTAAACCAAGAGTAACTGGACAATTGAGACACCAAACACAAAACTTCAGATATTTAAATCAATTGTTGACAGTTTTCATGGGATAATGAGATGAAGGACAGCCCTATAGTGTTAGGTATAAGATGACAAATAAAGATGGAGATGAGGACATTATGTGGGATAATTGATCGTAGGAAAGGTTTATTGACTCAGGCCTCAGAGGTGGTGAAAGAGGGTAACATCTTGACAGGCAAATGAAGAGCCTTTAAAAAAAGAAATTTACATTAAAGAAAAAGATCATGACAATATGAATTATGCTGAAACATAGGGAATATTTCTTTACCTATTTAAGGAACTGGACATAGAAATTAGAGAAATTTGACATTGGTGGGTATGGGAAATGTTACAAATTCTAAGGAAATTTGATAGATATTTGAAAATGTGCTAAGTATACAATGTAATACAGTGATATGGACGAAAAACATGAAAACATCAATCTTTTCTATTACCTTTGCTATAATTGGATGGACTGTCCTGCTTCAAAGAGGTAAGACTGAAATGTCATTAATTAAAATCTCTTTTAAGAATATTCTTTGATAATCTGAGATGTTCTAAGAAACATCTCTAGAAAATGACTTGTTGATATCGAGTTTTGTAGAATTTAGTGCTGTTATGTCTATGTAGTATCAAGATGCAGAGAAGTGTCGCAGTGTGCTGGTAAGGAGATAAGTCTAGATTGTTCTAGTCCAGACTGGCTGATTCAAGTGGATTACGAGATTTATGGATACAACCAATCACAGAACTGTGTTGTGTCAGGGGACATCTGTACAGACACCGAATTTCTCAATCCGCCCAGTGTTAAGTACTGTAATGGCAGACCTTCCTGTACCTTCACTGTACCAACAGATCAGTACATGACAGTATGCAAGGAAAACGCGACCTCCCTTAAAGTCATATACCAATGTGTGGCAAGTATGTAGTGCTCCAATGTTTCTTTGCTAAGTGCACTATGAGAATTTAACCCAGGTTCTATATGAAACCCTGCATGTTATTTCTTTTTCATAAAAAAAATAATAAAAAATAAAAAATGCAAAAATTGCTATACAGTAAAGTCAACCCATTAGATTTTTTCTTAACTTCTTGCTCTCAAAAGAGTTGTTTGAAATTCCTTTATATTCACATGATCATGTCATTTCTAAGTCCTTGTCTTCTTTTGTTTACCAACTGGAACCCTGCAGAGTCTCAGAGTTTTGACATGTGTTCTGATTTTCTGGAGATGTACAGATCCACCTTCTATCTAACCTCACCTCTATACCCAGTCCCAAAAATATCCCCTGTCAGATGTTCCTGTGACATCACAGGTGAGAACATGGATGTTCGGACACTGGAACAGACCAAGGCGTCGCTAAGTCCAGTGGTGTACATACTCGCAACTGACACCAGCACTAAACACATCACAAAACTCAGCATCATCAACAGACTGGAGTTTGCTAACATCTCTAGTCTAGAGGTCTTACTGGACAACAGGTATCCGCAGCAGGAATTCAGACTTTGGCTCAAACTCACGGGCAATGGTGGGTTAATGAACTTCTTCAGAAATTTTCATGTGAAAACTCCCGCAGAAAACTTGGTAATGAGTCAAAATATAATGCAAGGAGACTTAAAGCTCTCACATTTATTGAAATTTTTACATTACAGGTATGGCTATCAAATGTGGCTCTCCTGTAATACCGTCAGCCGTTAGCAGTTCACAAATTGACATGTCAACTCACGACAGTTACCTCCCCTCTAGTATATTCAGCACTTCATCTCTAGAACTTTTCTCTTCTTATGATGACATAAATGTGACTGCTCTACCTAACAGCACCCTGAACTTTAATATAAATACTTCCTCCGAGTCTATGATAGCTGTAAAGAGTTATCTCTCCTCATCAACAGTTGACACAGTGTTGACAGTGTCTGTGATAACCGAGAAGAGTTACCTCCCTTTGTCAACAGTGGACTCAGTGCTGACCAAGTCTATAACTGAGAAGAGTTACCTCTCTTTGTCAATAGTCAATTCAGTGCTGCAAACAGCTACAGTAACTGTATCCTCTGTGTCTATTACAGGAAAAAGTTCACAGAGAATTAGCCAATCAGGTAATTACTAATGACCAGCTCAGCCAATCAGAGGTTATTGATTAGTTCTGTCCATATTAACCACACAAATCATTAGGAATGAACAAATTTGCATATCTGATATTGAATTAAAAGCATGCAGTTACTATGCAGAGCTGCTTTTGTCTTTCTTTTAAAATATTTAATTAACAACATAAATATTATCACTAATAATGTTATTCAGTCTGCTAGAAATCATTGCATGAGTTTTTTCCCCCTGCAAAATTTATAAAGTGCAAAAGATTTATAACATTCCATATGTTTAATTTGTAGGATGCTTTCCTGGCACTGTTACTTTATAGTTTTGTTGTTTAAACTTTTACTGATATACCTAAAACATATTTGATTTTTTATGACCCCTATAGCTTCCTATGGTTATTTTGGCTGGCTTCTTAATTTAAAGTTATATACCCTTTTTTTTTAAAAGAAAAAAATTTGACTGTCTTCCTGGAGTTTTTCACTTTTTAGAACTTGATTTAGCTGTCACCCTTGGAATATTTTCTAGCTCACCTGAGCCGAAGGCTTAAGTGAGCTTTTCTGATCAAAATTCAGTCGTTGTTGTTGTTGATGTTGTTATTGTCATCGTAAACTTTTCAAAATTTCATCTTCTCCAGAACCACTAAGCCAATTCCATCAAACTTTGCACACAGTATCCTTGGGTGGAGGAAATTCAGATTTGTTCAACGGAAGGGCCACACCCTCTTCCAAGGGAAGATAATTAAGAAATAGTGAAAAATTGAGTGGGGTCATTTAAAAATCTTCTTTTCAAGAACCACTGGACCAAAAAAGGGGAAACTTTTGTGAAAGCTTTCTGACATAGTGTAGATTCAAGTTTATTCAAACCATGACCACTGCGAGTACGGTGGACCAGTATGGGCAATCAGAGTTTCACATAGGAATATATAGGAAAAATCTTTAAAAATCTTCAGTATTCTCAAGAATAGCAAAGCCATGATTAGTCATTTTTAAATGGATGTATCCTCAAGCTGTGTAGATCCAAGTTTGTTCAAATCATCAAATGGGTAGGGTGGGGCCACAATGTTTTACTTAGAAATATATACTGTAAAAGCATAAACATTCATGGGGGATTATATTTCATTTATTTCATTGTTAACAATTACCAACAAAATTGAACCCCACATGATTTTTTATATGACTATATACTGAATAGGGTTACTTTCAAAACAATGAAATTTTATGCCAATGACACCTTTTAGATGACAAATCAACAAAATTTTATCCCCATGAAAATTTGTGTTTCTTCAGTATGAAAAATCTTTTTATAATTTTTTCTTGAGATCACAGCAAAGACATGATTACTCAAAGAGCTAGGTTCACTTTATGCATAAAATGGCCCTGTCCTTATATCAATTAATTGACTATCACCCTCTGTCCCATTTCATATATCAAAATAAAGTAGAAACTTAGTGCTTTCAATTCCTACAATGAAATTTCTTTTTGAGAATCCGGGTATTGGAAAACAGGCTTTAAGAAAATGCAATGTTCTTGAATTTTGCAGAAAACGTGTATTTGACTACCTTCAGAAAAGAATTAAAATATAAGCACAGCCCACGATCCAAAAATTAAAATTTGCTTTGTGATCTTCAAACACAGATCTTTTATTATATAATTGCATATTTTGGATCAGAGGTTGTGCTCTATATGAAATATTGAAAAAGTACCTCAATTTTTTTGGCCATTTTTAAGGAAATTTACAGGATATGGGAAAAATGACACATTTTATGACATCATAATGCATTGACTAAAGAGAAAATTATGTCATGTTCAATAGATACACGGTCACCAAGAGTCCAAGTTATAAATACTACATTTTCAACCAAAACTGAGCAGTTTCAATTTTTCAGAAATTCTCAGGACCAAAAAAGGCCCTAAGTGGCTCTTGCTCTTTATGTACAAGCATCCTCAGATAGTAAAAATTCAAGTTTGTTCAAATCATGACCCCTGGGGGTAGGATGGGACCACAATGGGTGATCAAGGTTTACTTCAGAATATATAGGGAAAATCTTTAAAAAAAAATCTTCTTCTCAAGAACAGTAAAGCCATGAATAGTCATATTTATATGGAAGCATCCTCAGGTAGTGTAAATTTATATTTGTTAAATGACCCTTGGGGGGTGGGGCCACAATATGTGATTGAAGTTTTACATAGGAATATATACAGAAAAAAGAGCAGAAGGACCATAGTGACTCAGGTGAGCCTTGTGGCCCCTGGACCTCTTGTTCTACAATTTGTTGTACTGTCTGATGTCTACAGGTTGTTTTTATTTGTAGGTGAGGTTATATTAATTGCTGTGATCGCCTCAGTTTGCGGTCTCTTCTTCATCATATTCATTGTTGCTACTATTCTTATTTGCAGGTAAGACAGAAGTCTATAAATAAGCTATATTCCCAGTTATGCAATAACTTAAATGTTGTCTGTTGATGTTACAATGAAATAACAATGAGGTCTGTTTGCAGGAAGAAAAATGAAGATGTTTCTGAATCTAGAGAAAATATACACCGACCTGGCAGGAATGTTATAGATGCTTATGAACAAAATGATTTCACTGTGAACTTCTAGTATTCTTGTAAAATAAAGTTCTTTTAAGAGACCATTTCAAAAACCTTTTAACAAAACCAACATCATAATATACAGATGATCTTCCATACCTCATGCATTAAAATCTTGAACAACATGGATATGTTGAAAGGATTATGAAGGTCCAATTTCATCTAGTTTAACTTCAATATCTTGAATCCTTGAATATCTTGAAGTTTTTTTTCTTGGCCACAGTGAGTTTGAGATAATGAGGTTTTACTGTATAGGATATGGTCATCAATGTAATGTACATGTGGCACTTACTCTTATGAAATGTTGACCATCCAAGTTGTATAAAAAACAAAAACTCAAAAGTAAAACTATTGTAGCACTGGGATATGCAAATGCCGCTGATGCTTAGAATTCCAGAATAGACAGTTTTCTCACATACAAATATGCAAATGAGACTGTTACATGTGTACACAATGCCAACACATCAGTAATGATGTTTTAATGTGGCATCATTCAGGCTGATAAAATCATTCCACATTCCACACTCGGCCTTCTATGCCAACTTTTACACTACGCCATGAGATGCACTGCTGCTGATATTGTTATGCACCGGAGATAAACAAAACACCTGGAACCGCGCCAGGTACGCAGATTAGCTTCTACTATTTTTACTACCATAGTTACAACTGGGGTGAAAAATGGAATTCGGAACATAAACTAATTCTGACCTTAATACAATATGAATGACATTGTGGATAATATTTACATTTCTTTTTATTCTCCACCTAAGAAGTTTACAAGGTTACCAGTTATTGTTTATTAATTACCTTCTTATTAAGTGCAGATTTGACACTTGTCTTTTGCAGGACTGCCAAAAAATCAACCATGTATTGGGATTGTTATTTTTCCCTCTACAGAAATGACTCGATCTTACTTTGCTAAATCTAAGATTATTTACTGCTGATTTTCCTGTAAAACTCATTAAAAATTTTTGACTGAGTTATATCATACACGTACTTATAAAAAATTATAGAGATGAAGAAATGAATGGAATGAAGATGTAACTTTTTTTTTTTTTATAAATCCCCTTCCATATTCTGTTGCACACATTTATCTACTTTGAATAAGAACTAAATGTTCTTTTGTTTCTCTTCCATTAGATCTTTCTAAATTAACATTTACAAATGAACTTTGAATATTTGATATCCAATCCTCTGACATTGCAAATTCACTAACCATATATCAGATTATAAATTCAAGTAAATATATAAAGACTTTGCATTGAATTTGGCTCTCATTAAAATCAATTTAACCATCAAACTATAATTGAACTCACTCAAAAGAAACCTTTAATATAATATGTTTCAAATTTTTTCTACTTGAAATGAAAGTGATACCTTTAAGTTAATGCTTGAAATATGCATTTGAAGTGATCAGTTTTCCGATATAGATTAGCCCACCCCACTTAAAAGTAAATAAGAGTGACATTCCCTTCTAATGTTCTCTAATTCTTACATGAGCCACAAATTGGCAGTCAATCCTTTTTACCTTCAAGGAAACAAACAAGACATGTGATCAAAGAGTTTTACCACAAATCTTGGAGACTACAATCCTCCATCAAATTTGAGTGATGATGGCTGCCAAATTTTACTAATAGCATGAGTGGGAGATAAGTATCTCCTATGTACCAAGGTTTGTCAATCCGTGACAACAAATTACACCTATCATAGACCAGTCTCTGAAAGATTCTGGGCACCATTCCATTCCTGTTCCCCCCTCTACGTTCCCCCATTTTGAATTACTTCCAAGTTCATCCTAAATGTTTATAACTGATTCAGGTGCAAACATTCATCATTACCTAACTCCATGTGTAAACCAAAACAGAAAAATTACAGCCGAATTCTATCAACACAGCAGTTATCTTTTCTAGTTAAAAAGTTGTGAAACACTTGATAGCTTATTAAGAAACACTCAAACTCTGGAGTGCAGAGAGAGAGAGAGATGTTTTAGACATTTCAGTGACCTTCAGGTGAGCTACATTGAAAAAGTTCTAAAACTGCAATTACCTCTTTACAAGAAACTAATTGCTTTGCTGGGCCATTCTTGGAGCTGATGTTATTGATGCTGTAACTTTAAAAAGAAGCCATAAAATTTCTCCTCCTGGGTATGTGTACTTACAACAGGGACTCGGACCACTTCTATTTCTGCCCTGGTTGACCAGAGCCTTCTGCATGTACTGACCAGCGCCTTCTGTATGTATTGACCAGGGCCTCTGCACGTATTGACCAGAGCCTTCTGCACGTACTGACCAGTGCCTTCTGTACGTATTGACCAGGGCCTTCTGCACGTATTGACCAGAGCCTATATCTGTACGTATTGACCAAAGCCTTTTGTACAACATTAATTGACCATCCTGCTGTGCTTTTGTCTGTCATTATTCCCGCAATATTGTGAGTGACTTCTGTATCTTCTTTGGCGGCACCTCAGGTGGTGACAACGGTACCCACACGTGCTGACACCCCTCCTTTTGATGTCGCCCTCTGATCCTCCTCTCAGTGGGCAGTTAGTCTGGCAAGAAGCCTTACATCCACAAAAGATAAAAGAATCTACTGATACACAGTAAGTCCGACTTGTTTCATCATTTCTGTAATTGGCTTTGCCGAATTTTTACTTTTGGCTCCTGGTACTGCTATTTGTAAGAAATCATAAAACAAGGCAGTAATATGTTTCTGCTATCTTCACTTTGTTAAGAATACAAAAATTAACCAAATTTAACATCTGGTTCGTGTGCAGAGTATTCTGCCTCCACTGAAAGACAGTTATGTTCTGATGACCCGTTCATTTTATGGTTCAGTCTGTTTTTGGACAGAGTTTATTTTGTTTGTAATTTGGAGCACCAATTTGTATTCTGTCAATTATTTTGTGCATGTTAATATTTTTCTACCAGCTTTCCAAGTCATTATAAGATTAAGTGCAATCAACTCCTGTCTAGCATGTTTTCACTTGTATTGTCTGTCTGTTTGTGTTATCTGTGATTTGGAAAAAGGCCACTGCATCATTGGCAACTGCAATACAATTACTGCCATTGGAATCAGCTGTTTGTCAGCTGACTTTTCTCCACGTCTCTGTAACTAATTGTGTAATAACTCTGAGTGTCATTTCTGTCAGGCGGCCGTGAAATTCTTACTTTTCATTCTTACTCAGATTAACCATTATATATGTTACATTCTTCTAGAAACAAATTCCTTTTTTATAATCTAGATAATGTCTTCAAGATTTATATCTAAGTTTACATTTGATGCCATCAAATCTACAGATATATCTTTGTGATGAAAGGTCAAGGTAATCAGAATCTACATTCTCCAGGAGCTGGAAAATTAGAGTTGGCAACCTCACTATGTGTTGCCTTTAATTAATAAAACATATCTAAAATAGACTCATTACTATAAATCTCAAATAATCACTTATAAATGTACAAGGTAGGAAATGAAAAATAATAATAAATCAAATGAATGGGGAAAGTTCTTATGAATTAAGACTCTTCTAAGAAAATGTATCAATTTGTAAAGTTTGTATCCCTCTAACAAGTCAAGTTAGAGGCATTATAGATTCTTTGGGAAAATGTTAACATAATTTCCAAATGTTGGCATTTGCGTAAAGAGGAAAATGATTGAATTAATCTTTGGTTTTGGCAATAATAAAATATCAGATTCTGGTTAAGAAATCTGAATTTCCTCTATCTCTGTTCCTTTCTTTTAGGTTTTTTTTTTTTTTTCCCCCCCAGGATTGTTGCCCCTCTGCTGTTCCATCCTTCACGTGTCATGCTTTACGAGACATGGCTGACATCCCCGTGACTTTTTTACACTTCTCCCCCGATTCTCTCCTTATTTTTTTTTTAATTTCCACTGATTGATGAGTATAAACTATTCAACCCGCCTGTCTCTACCTTACATCTGATGATGCGAAGGAGAAATAGCTTTCTTCCTCACTATTTTGCAGGTTAAATCTATCAACCGAAATTCTAAAATAGATTACATTGTTTTATGCAGGCTTATCAATATAACTGATTATTTTTTCTACCTCTTTTTCTAAATGATGGTGTCTGTCTTCATATTTTTTTTTTCTGATGTTGAAAAATATTACATTTTTTTGGATGCACACATGAAGGATGCATACATCAAAACGTGGGATTTCAATGCCTATCATCTGGGGTTGAGAGCCTGAACTTTTAACAATATGGAACCAATAATAACCAACCATCCAGTAAATTATAACAAGATTATGAGAGACAGATTTTTTGTTGGATAAGGATCAACGAAAGATGGCAAATTGCAAATTTACTGCAGAACTCTAATGAATTCTTTAAAAAAAAACACAAAGCAGTGAAGATTATAGAAGCACATCCAGACACATTTCACAAAGTGGTCCTCAAAAGCTAATTAAATCTTTTCCAACTTCCAGTCAGCAAGATCATCAATCCCCCCTTAAAAAACCCTAACAGTAAAAAAAATTCCTGTCTTGGAGGAACTTCTCTGTCCCTTCGGAGTCAGACAATGGATTCATCACACAATATGGGTTATCATCCAAGTAGATAATCATTTCAACAAAACTCTCTCTTTGCAATCCATTACGCATGCATGTCTAAAATTTTCAGATAAGTTTTCCAATTATTTCAAGGAATTTCTGATAACGAGTGATCTTCGTGCTGTGCATTTTTTGAATTGAAATTTAATGCTTGCACTTTCAGATATTTAATCTGACAAGATATTCTAAATGCATGCAATTCTTTTATCTTGAATATGTCCCTATTTCTTCTGAATTTATCTTAACACTTACATGAAAATAACTTTTTATCTTTTTTATGAAAGAATATAATTATATTATATTCTACAAAAAGTTAAATACATACATAAAATTATCCAATACACTGAGTATCTGATGATACTGAATAAGAGTGATTGATTCTGTGCTGTTTTATGTCACTCTCAGCATATTTCAACAAAATGTGAGCAAAACAAGTTCTTTACATA